CTTTGGATCTCCACTCCGCACTCCCCCCATCATTCACTATGGTAAGATTTTTTGTTCTGATGATGCCTTACACCTCCCCCTATGTTTTGATACTGGATTTTTAAAATGAAAATGAGATAATATATATTATTACATTAAAAATATATATCACCATAAAAAAACCCTCCTTTTTGTAATGAATTATTGCTGGCACATAGGTATGCTATTGAGTTTTCAATATTGATCTTTATCCAGCATTCCTCCTACACTTTCTTATTAGTTCTAGTAGCATATCTGTAAAGTCTTATAAACTTTCTAAGTAGAAAATCAATAAAAAAAATAATGACCATTTCTTCTCTTCCTTTATAATCCTATATCATCTATTTTTCTTATACCTGCATGTATTGAATTCTATTATTTTAATAAGGCTTGTAAAAATGCTAATTTTGACATTATTTATAATTATTAAAAAGATATTTCTATATAGTTTTCTTTAATAAACATGAGCTATGTGTTTCATTATATTAACTTCAAAATAATTTTCAGTTATCAGTTTAAGGTTAGAATAAGTAACTTTTGCCTACATCAATATGCATCTTTAAAAAAATGCATCTTTTAAGATCCTTGTATAGTGTATTATACTGGTGGCACTGAGTGGGATTTGAATCCCATTTCATCCACATGGTACAAGATCATCTTTTTTTTAATTAATTAATTTTTTGGTACAAGATCATCTTTGAGACTCATTTTCTTCAAATGTAAAATACTGATAAAAGCCCTTAATTCATAGAATTGTGGATTAACTGAGGTACCAAAGTGGTTAATACATCACAGACTTTTTTTGTTATTGCCATGTTGTTAATGTTTGCATCAAGTTGAATCCAAAATAATGGCCCCATGTGACAGAGTGGAAATACCCCATAGGTTTTGGGGCTGTGAGTTTTATGAAAGCAGATTGCAAGATTTTTCTACTGCAGAGATGCTGGTTGAGTTCAACCCTACTTGATTATCAGCAGTTCAAAAGCACCAGCAGCTCCCTGAAAGAAGGGGTGTTCTACTCTTTTAAAGAGTTACAGTCTTGGAAACTCACCGGGGCAATTCTATCCTGTCCTACAGTCTCTCTATGAGTCACCATTGACTCAATATCAGTGAATCTGGGTAGGGGCTAAGTGACTAACCATGGCACCACCAGAGCTCCTTGTTACTACACTAGAACATAAAATTTCTGGGGTTTTGTTGTGCATATTGCCAAAAAAGAAATACTCACCACCTATCAAACTGTCTATTGTATTATAAATATCTTCAGAGAGTGTAATGTTGGACTCATTTTTCCCTTTTACATTCTTTATTTCATTCTGTATTAATAAAAAAATCAAGGCATTAAAACAAGTCTTAGCATAGCTTCTTTTAAAGAAAGAAGCTTCTTTTTTATAAGCTCCTTTTAAAGATATCTGGGCAACTTCAAAAACATCACAGAAAAATTAAAGTAAAAGGTGAAGAGATTTTCCCCACAAACTTTTGAAGCCCTATTTGACATACATTGCTATGCAATTTTCTTTTAGAAACTTTTGTTGTATGAAAAAAATACTTTCTATTATCCTTCCTCACTGTATATTTCAGCTTCCTTTTGATAAAACCACACTATCAGTCACAATATTTTATGACAAATGAAATCAATATCTACCTATTAGTTTGTTTGTTTTATTGTTTACCTATTTTAATATTTTGCTTTTTCAGGAAGTCAGATCATGTGACAATAAAAGTATTTAGCGATGCAGAGATGAGGCTATAAACATAGGGGTATGTAATAGCACTCATGAAAAGAAAATGGAATTTTCCACAAACTTTTTAAGTCCCCTCATATAAGTGTCATTGATAAATCTTTGATGATTGTTAACTTTAGTGGGAATGGGATTATGGTAGTTGGTATAATGGCCTAATGGTATAAAATAGGGCTTCAATAATAAGGTGAAATCTAATTCAACTAAGGGGGTATTTATAAAAATTCATGTAGGTCTTATCTCAAAGTTTCCAAAAGACAAAAGAGTTTTAAAGTAAATTAGTAGTAAAATTTAAAAAGTAAATTAGTAATATAAATAAGACAGTGAGGAAAATATATTAAATGCTTAAGAAAAATATTGGCAATATCATTAAATATGAGCACCTAAATAATGCTATAGAAATATTGAAGTCAGCTGACTATAAACCTCCATTTGATAAAACTTTTAAGTATTGTTCTACTTGTTGGATCTACTTGAAAGTAATAAAATTATTTATATAACAATTTTATTTCAACTTGCAAATTCAGGCCATTTTTCTTAATAAAAATATGTAAGATACTTAAAAAATAAAATTAGTCACACATGAGGGGATTAAAAAGCTAGGGGGAAATGGAACTGAAAGATATTGGAGTGTTCCCACAAATTTTTGAAACCCCTCATCCATTGTTGTATTTACACTAACTTCTTTTTTTTTTAAATCATTTCTTGGGGGGTTCTTACAGCTCTTATAACATTCCATACATCAACCGTATCAAATATATTTTTACATATGTTGCCATCATCATTTTCTACACATTTACTTTCTATTTGAGCCCTTGGGATCAGCTCTTTTCCCCTCCCTCCTACCCTCTGACACTTGATAAATTATAAATTATTATTATTTTCATATCTTACATCGACCATTGTCTCCCTTCACCCACCTTTCTGTTGTTCATCCCCCTGGTGGTGGGGCACACAAATTTCTTGGCACTGCACTACTCATAGTATTTCAGAGATAATTTGTTAAGTCGAATCATCTGTAATTTTGTTATTTTGACTAAAATATGCATTTTGACTCTTTTGGTCTATTTGATATAAAGAAAAATATTTTGTGCATAATTTATTGGAAGTTGATTAACTGTAATATTATGGTCAAAATAAAATTTTAAATGAAAAGTTTAAAAAAATAATTATAAAGTTAACAACAAAAACAAAAAGACTCAAAAGCCCACTACCCAGTACGAACCACCGTGATCATTTTTTGATGGGAAAAAATGTAGCTGTATTAACATATTTAAGGTTAAATGTCCACTCCTACATGCATTCAATAATTTCACTTGTCCTCTACTGATGAAAATTTAGTTTGCTTTTAATGTTTGGAATAGCTATGAATGGCTCTAAAAATACTTTTATGAATGCTTCTTACAGGTAGAATTGCTAACAACAAAAAAATCACAGTTCAAATTTTTAATTCCTACACATGCATAGCTCCCTAGAAAACTCTACGAACTTATAAGTGAGCCATATGAAACCGCATTTACCTTTTTTGACTCATAGTAAGGCAATTTCATAGGGTTTGTTTTTGTTGTTAGTTGCCATCAAATTGGCCCCCAACTCATGAACTCCTTGCATAATGGAACAAAATGCTGCCTGGTCAGTCCTTCACCATCTTCAAGATCATTGTAGATCACCCTTAGAATGGAAGTTCCATTGAAACTCATTCAACATTAGAACAATATACAAGCCTTCACTTAAGTCAGGCTGGTGGCTGCCCTGCAGCAGTTCTCAACGTGTGGGTCAGGACCCCTTTTCCAGGGGTCGCCCAATTCATAACAGCAACAAAATTACAGTTATGAAGTAGCAATGGAAATAATTTTATGGTTGGGGGGGGTCACCACCACATGAGGAACTGTATTAAAGGGTCACGGCATTAGGAAGGTTGAGAACCACTGCCTTAATGTATACCATATATATTCAAGTATAAGCTGACTCGAGTATCAACCAAGGGACTTAATTTTACGACAAAAACTGTATTAAAAATGTGCTGAAAAGTCTGCTTATACACAAGTATATATGGTACTTGCCTGAATTTGAATCCTGAATCTAACAGGTGAGAAGTCTACCACTCAACCATAACTGCCTCCTGTGTAACCACATATATTCCACCTATTTTTCTGTATTCTTGGCTAATAACTGTTAAATAGAACAACATTCATGAAGATCTTGGGATGTTAATAGCTATTCTGTGAGAAAGAACACTAGGGCATTTACTGAAATAGGAATAGGGTAATTTACATGCAGGTGTTCTCAATGCCATGATGAATGATGTGAACCATATATATATACTGATATAGTGGAAGATGGGCTGGATCAAGCAACAGGCCCCTTATACTTTCATTCTCTGTGGCTGATTTGTTGTGGTTATGTCCCCTGGCTGCTCTCTTGGGACTTTATAAGGTGAGAAAATTATTGTTCACAGGATCATTTTGAACAATCTTTAAAATTCTACCTTTCATTGTACACTAATGGAACTGGGGAAATCAGACTCTTTCTCTCATCTCTGCCTCCACTGGAGAGTCTTTTACTGCTCCTGTTGTTGAAAAAAATTTCATATGCAAGATAATATGATTCCGAATGCAATCTCTAGCTTCTAGAATATATAAACAATGCAAACCTGAGGCAAGTCTGAAATGGTACCGCTGATTTCCACACACAAGGGAGAAGCTGAAGTTAAGTCTTGAGAAAGACTGCTGATATTCACATCTGCTTCTGACATACTTCCTAATATCTTCTTGAGAATTATCCACTTTGAAATGTATAGAATCTGAAGGTAATGACCAAAATTGTTGATAATTCCTGTTCTGAAAAGTTGAATGATGAGGGGACCTCTTAACAATAAAGTAAAACAAGTTTAACTTCTAGTAGTATATACAAAGAGCTACGAGCTATGTTTCCCATCCTTCATGTTAAAATAGCAACATTTACAGTCCCCAAGTTTAATGTCATTTGTCAAGTTATTGGGGAAGATTTTTAGTCTGCATATACCATGTTAGTCAATATTGATTTGGACAAATCCCCAACAAAACTCACCACTGCCCAGTGAATTCTGACTTCGTAAACTTATAAGACAAAGTAAAACTGCCCCATAGGGTTTCCCAGGCTATACATCTTTATGGAAGTCAACTTTATCCCACAGTGATTGAGCAAAATGAAAGGTAATTTCCTAGAAGACATAGAATCCAAAAAGTGAGGGGATCTCTCAGTTATTTAATCAAAATATCAAAAAGACTCTATGTACTTAGAAATTAGGCAAAAGGTAGGGATAAAGTTGGATCATTTATCAGTCCTGATTAGATTACTTGCTTCATTGACTTTTATTTTTATCAAATGATGTTATAGATTTGAAAACAACCCTTGAAGTGGAGTAACGAGTCAATTGTTGTTAGGTGCAGTAGAGTCGAATTTTGACTTGTGGTGACCCAAAGTGAATAGTAGACCTTCCAGGTAAGGTTTTGTAGGCTACCATCTTTGTGGGAGTTGATAGGTCTTTCTTCTACATTGCATTTGGGTGCACTGCATTCAAACTCAGCCTTTTGATCGCAGCAGAGTGCTTAATTGTACCACCAGGGCTTTTTGAGACTTCACAAGACATGGTATTTCTATTTACTTAGTACGTTCTTTTTTGGAAACCAATGATCAATTCAAAGTTAACACTGTAAAATCAGTTTTCTCTCCTTACTTTCCTATCCTCTGGCACTTGAGTTTGAAAATTTTGAAGCACTGTTTTTGGCATGCTTCCACATCTATTAACTTGACAGGATTTGGTAATTGAATATCATCCATGTCTATTCAGCTATCAGTCTCTCTTTTCAAAATTTCCTCATGATCTCTTTGTTCTACCAGGGACCAGGAATCGAAAGCATGTTCAGTCACTCTAAATTCCTATTCTACTTTCCAAGCCTTTCGTATCCTCAACCCACTTTACCTACCGAGTATTCATTCTAGCTCCTAGTACTCATTCTAGCTTATCTTGTTCCAGCTCATTGGAAGACCTCATACTCTACTATCACTTTAGTAATTTGTCCTTGCATAACCTTTCCCAACTCTTCTTCCAATTTTAAAATTTCTTTCAAATCTCACTCTATGTCTCAATATGTACTTGATAATTCAACATGTTGTTTTAATCTTCAACTTTTTTTTTCAAGTGTCAGTATTTAAGCATCTTGGGGGAGGGATAGTCTACTTATTCAATGCTACCTACAGCAAACAAATCAGTGTTGCCCACACAATATTGCTTGAATGAGTTCTGCACTCCAATGATTACTATAAAATCCCTTTCACCTAGTCACTAATTATTTGCCTGGATTAATCACTCCACTTGTTGAAGGTTGTTTTCAAACCTATAGCATCATATGGTAAAGAATAAAAATCAATGAGGCAAGTAACCTAATCAGGACTGATTAATCATCCAGCTTTATGCCTAGCTTTTGCCCAATTTCTAAGCACATTAAAGCTTCTGGCTTGTGGGGAAGAAGACCTGAAAAAAAATCTTATTTTCTTTTCCAAACGCAAAATAGGAAAGGATCATGTATCTTAAAAATTTTGTGAACCCAGAACCCTTAATTACACTTAGCATTTTGTTCACCATTCACCTGGCACTGCAGTCTACCAATTTACTTTTATTGTTATTTTTAAAATAATTTTTTCCATCTCCGATTTCTTTTCAGTACTCTCATTAGATTTAAAAGCATTTATCCAAATGTGTGGGTACCCCAGAGGCATTTTAAAGCTGTTCTGAGACTTTAAAAGAAGTGTCACTGTTACTAGCGAAATTCTAAGGTTTTGAACCTAAGCTTTCTCTTCAACCATCGTACTCTGCTATAACCTTGAAACTACCTATTATATTTTTACTTCAAAACATGGCACTAAACTTTTTAAGTCGCAAAGGTGTTGCAGGTCCATACAGTTTCTTGGGCTTACAATAAGGATTTCGGACTTCCTCCCTCCTCAGTGAGTTTTGCGGGAGGGAGAACACTTATCGCCGTTTTTCACGAATGATTTTTTTTTTTTTTAAATAGCAGTTGGGATCTAGTCGCGTGAGAGCAAGCCTGTTGTGACGTCCGCTGGACCCGGCCAATCTCGTCGAGGTGAGGCACCCATCAGACTCCGGCGGCCTCCGGCCGGGTCTCCGCAAGCAACACCACCCATAAAGCTCTGCAGGTCGAACCTCCGAGATCGACCAATGCGCGCATCCCTGCAGGACAAAATAAAGTGCGACACCACTGGGCAGGCGGCTCAGTTTGTTCACCAGACTCGCAGGGATGTCATTCTCCGACTGTACCGGGAGCAAACTGCTCCAATGAAGCACAGAATAAGGAGGAACTTCCGGTTGGAAGGTGCGTTACCACACACGGGCTTCCTGTCTGGGCGGGACATCCGATCTGGGCGGGGCTTCCGGTCTGAGTGGTGCTGGGTGCCCAGGCAGTGGGTCCTGCTCTGTCACGCAGCACGTGTCACGCGTTGTTGGCATTAGGGTCGCTTGGGTGGCGTTAGAGGTGAGGATCCACGGAGAGGTCATTGGATCGGCAGTGGGTGGAGCCCTCTCCGCGTCGCTCGCCTTCCAGCGTAGGCTGGGCGGCCTCCGGTTTTCTGCGGGCTCGCCACCTGCCCGTCATGGACTACCGGCGGCTCGTGATGAGCCGGATAGTCCCGGGGCAGTTCGACGACGCGGATTCGTCTGACAGGTAGACACTGGCGTTGTTCAGATTCTGCCCTCTCCTCCGCTGCTCCTTAACCAGAGTTGACTTTTTCCTTTTGTTTTTAATGTGGGATTGCTGGGGAGACACGAGGCCTCTCCCAGCCGAGTCTTTGCTCTCTGTTTACAGCGAGGTTAAGGAAGCCAGCTGTTATATCGTTGTGAATGAGGGGGGAGTGGGAGTGGGGACCCAAAGCCCATCTGTTGGTAACCGGACATCCCCTTATAGAAGGATCGCGGGGAGGAGACCAGCGAGTCAGGGTGCAGTGTAGCAACGATGAAACATACAACTTTCCTGTAATTCTTAAATGCTTCCCCTTCCCCCGTCCCCCCTCCTCCCCTGCGCTATCATGATCCCAATTCTACCTTACAAAACCAGCTAAACCAGAGGATGTACTGTACACTGGTACAGATAGGAACTGGAAAACAGGGAATTCGGTACAGATGATCCCTTCAGGACCAGTGGTGAGAGTGGCGATACCGGAGGGTGGAGGGAAGATGGGGTAGAAAGGGGGAACCGATTGTAAGGATTTACATATAACCTCCTCTCTGGGGGAAGGACAACAGAAAAGTGGGTGAAGGGAGGGAGACGTCAGATAGCGTAAAACATGACAAAGTAATAGTAATTTATAAATTATCAAGGGTTCATGAGGGAGGGGGAGAGAGGAAGGAGGGAGAAAAATGAGGAGCTGATACCAAGGGCTTAAGTGGACAGCAAATGTTTTGAGAACGATGAGGGCAACGAATGTACAAATGTGCTTGACACAATGGATGTATGTCTGGATTGTGATAAGAGTTGTACGAGCCCCCAGTAAAATGATTTAAAATATATATATAAAAAAAGCCAGCTGTTAGGGTATTCAGGGTGCCCAGATTGGTAAAGGATGCTGAGACACACAGTTTGGAAATAGGTTTGTCTGCTTTTACTACATGAATACTGAGTACTTGACCAACCAGCACTAGTGTGGGTGCCGAAGAATAAACAAGAGTATTAAGGTCCTACAGCGATGGAACTTGGAATGGAGGAGGTGCAGGGCCAGGTACATAGATTTTACAAGACCAGATTATGTTATGCAAATACTTCACAGAGGTTGGTTTCCTCAATAACAACCGATTAACTGATCTCAATAGCAAAAAGGAGCTAGCCCAGGAAGGGACAGGGTGAACAACATTTCAGGCAGCCAAGACAGCAAGTGTGAAGGCTCAGCGATGACATCCTTCTTGACGGTTAAGGATTATCAAGAAGCCAGATTGCCCAAGGAGTTCCTGGTTGGTGCAGAGGGTTAATGATTTTGTCTGCTAGCTGACAGCTGGAGGTTTGAGTCTACCCAGAAGCACTGTAGAAATATTCATGATACCCTATGCTTCGGAAATTATTGCCCTGAGACAATTTTACAACTTTAAAAACACCACCTGACAGCTTAAAAATAAACAATATAGTTAGCTTAATTAGTAAAATATTTTTGCCTTAAGCTATCTCTGAGATCAAGTTTACAGTAGCAACTTAGAGACTAGATAGGACTGTAGGACAGTGAGCTTATAAGGAAGCAACTGCTCTGGAGGAGAGTGGGAATGGTTGGAAAATTCAAAGAATGCAATCAGTGTCACTGGACTGCACCTGTAGAAGCTGTTGAATTGATGCATGTTTTACTTTGTATATTCTTAATAGCAACAACAAAATAAATAGGATTTTTAAAACAACAGACCTTTGGGGGCAATTCTCTGTCTTGTGAGGTTGCTATGAATTGAAATCCTCTTAATGGCACCCAGTACCAACAACCTAACAATCCTCTCTCTCAATTTTTGATCTCATTCACTGCCATTGCTGACTCATAGTGACCCCCCCTGTGAGTGTCCTAGACTGAAACCGTTTACAGGAGTAGAAAACCCAGTCTTTTCCCTCAGAGCTGCTATTGGTTTCCAACTGCCAACCATGAGGATTGAAGCCCAATGCTTATACCACCAGGGATCTATTCAATTTGTATGGTGACTGTAAATATTTTGTTTATATCTCTCTGCATTAAATATGAATTTCAGAGGGCAATGGTATCTTGATTTTTTTTATTACCAGGATCTAGTACTTAAAAGGTGCTCAATAAAGGGTTACTTAATAAGAAAAAAAGAGAGAATCCTAAAGAGCACAGCTTTATTATTTATGGGATCACCTTGATTCTGAATCCACTTGACAGTCATGGGTGGTAGTTGTGGTAGAGCAGGGGCACAGTGGAGGTTCCTGAGATGACTGGTGGTCAGTGCTGGAAGAGGGGAAGGGCTTGGATCATGAGCCTTTCAAGTTTAGACAGAAAGCCATAGGAGGATTTTAGCAAAGGAGGGACAGGGTCTGACTTCTGATAGAAATCATTATGCATAGAGTGTTGGCCATAATGGAAGCAGACAGGTTTAACAGTAATAAAATAATCCAGTTTAAAGATGATGCTAGCTAGGGCCAGAGGTATGTTTTTTTGGAGGTAGAAGTGACAGGAGTTTGGCAGGAGTTTGGATGTGTGGAATATGAAATGCTGTTTGTGGTTATTTTCTTACTTCATAAGAATTAATACTATGAAGAAGTTATTGATCCATGAGTGGGGTTCTTTTTCCAGTAAATGTTTTTACTAACTGTTGACTGTTCTCTGTGTCATATCTAAGTGTTGCCTTGTCTACACTTACCTCTTTGGCAATTGTTAGCTGCCGTTGAGTCAATTTTGACTCGTGATACAGATTGGAAAATACTTCATAGGATTTTTTGGTATATTCTTATTGAAAACAGGCACCAGCCCTTTTGTTCAGCAGTACCACTGGGTGGAGTCAAATTGCCAATCTTGCAATTTGAGTGCAGGTGTATCGTGTGAAACAAGACCAACACCATCATGGTCGACATACAACATGCTCTAGCAGGGAAACACATTAATTAAAAACAGTCTGCTAAAATTAGAGACATGACTGAAGAAAAAGTGAAGACTTCCCTGAACAAGTAATAGTTAACTGACACTGGAAGAGCGGGTATGGCTTACCCAGAATAATGGAAAGGACCTTTCACCTTTAGCTTCCAGATCAGTGGACAGAAGACCTTAGGGAAGAAGTTAAGTGGGCAAGAAACAGCAGAGTCAGTATGGCTGGAGAATAATATTAACGGAAACAAGAGTGTACTTGTTTACCATCACATTAAATATTGTGTAGATAAACCAGTGACCTCCACCAGTGTGATTTGCCCTGAGGGGACCTTTGGAAATCTCGAGACAGTTTTGGTTACCACAAATGGCTACTGGTCAAAAAACACCAAAAACCAAAAACCAAATGGTTATTGGTATCTAGGAGGTAGATGCCAAGGATGCTGCTAAACACTCTAAAGTGTATAAGACACCTCCTACCATAGAAAATTATCTGACTAAGGTTAAGAAGCCTTGGTACAAATAGAAATTACAACTTTAATATGCCATTCTAGGTTATTGGCAATTGGAGGATGATGATGATGAAATCTTTTTAAAAAACCGAAATCTTCACTGCCATTGAGTTGATGCTGACCTAATAGGACAGGGTAGAAATAACCCTGTGGGTTTCCAAGGCTAAAATCTTTTTTTTTAACATTTTATTAGGGGCTTGTAC